TTAATTTTTTTTTTTTTTCTTAAGTCTCAAATTAAGACAATTAATAACAACCATAAATTAACAGCAAAAGCTATTCTTAGTTCAATATTACAGTCAATGTTTGAGCAGAAGTTCATGGATTGTAAACTCTTTTTGTGACTAAATAATAACTATCTTACAAAGTTATTGACATAAAGATTAAAAATTCTAATTATTTTTGATAAAACAAAGCGTCAGCTGTCTTCAAATGTCGAATTGAAATTCCAAAATTAATTACATCATTTAGTTGTCAATGAATAAATTTTTTTTTTACATAAAAACACTGACAATGAGTCGATTACAATTTTTCAATTACAAAAATAAGCTTTTTTTATCTTCCGTAATTTGTATTGAACTATTAAAAAATTTTTGACCAAAAAATAACAAAAAGCTGCTTCTAAAAATCCAAAAATAATGAACGTGGACTCATAAAATACGTTTACAACATGTTTTTATGAATATTATATTTTTAACCAATACAAAAATATCTTTACAAGGAAGCAAAAAACCAGAAGAAAAAGTTTTTTGAAATATTTAACTTGACATCTATAACATACATACATAATACTATTTCTATAGTTTGGAAGTCTAAAATGTATAACAAAACTGACGAAACAAAATAATCACGGAAACTACATTATTCTTCATCCTGCATGATCTGCTGAACATTTTTAGCACTTACATCATGGGCGGTAACTTTTTTGACCTCGCTACATTTTAAGAAGTTTAACCTAACGTCTCACTAGTATTCCAAAAGCAACGTTTTAATTGAAACCTTTTTTTAGAAACCGATCATATATGATAATCACGCACTCGTACTTAATTAAAATCCAAATTAAAAGTAAGACATTTTCCTAAGAGCATGGAATTCTCCCCAATACCGTGACATCAAATATTATTAAAATTTAGCTGCATACGTATGTAAGTCAGTCGTTAATGCACATTAATGTATATGCATATGATACCACCTATCAAAATCTAAAAAAAGCTTGCCTAATGACCCGTGGATCATATACATGTAAATAACTTTGTGCACTGGACAAAAGATCGTTTTGATGGATATTTACAGTACGGCCGAGGGCAATGAGCCACGAAACACTAATCGGACAATGTGGAGAGTTGTATAGTCCATATTAATTTTTTTGCCACTTCATAGTGGTTGCATGACGCAATGGGCGATAATTTAATGATGTCAATCTAATATTTACTGATCATCGGCTCCGCATGAGCGTCAAAGTAGATAATAGTTGGATGTATCATACGCAATCAATAAATCACTCGCTTGTTGATAACAGATATCGTGTTTAAAAAAAAAAAAAAAAAAAAAAAAGTTTTATTACACAGGTGTTTTTATTTTTTAACTTTAATCAATATCATTGCCATTCCAAATATCATTTGAAATTGTAAACATTCAATTTTTGCCGAGTTTTGATTTTCTACGACACCTATCAATATTTTCCATGTGATACGCGCAAATTATTTCACAATCCTTCCACACAAATCGCGTAAATGTAATTATAGCTGAAACCAAGTCGAGCATATAGGGCGTATCAAACACAAAAGAGCTGCTTCTCCGTCGTAAATGTTAATGGCAATAAGTCACCACCAACATAATAGTGATGCAATTTCATGCGCGTTAAGGCTTCGCGTGTAACAGAAACCTAATAAACAATTTTTTTTTGTTTCGCCGAGCAGCCCATAATACGTACACCGTGATTATAAATCAATCGTGCGAGGACGCGTGCAATGTTAATGAAGTGCATGTATAATGTTAATTGAATGTCATTTCATATCAAAGTACAATGGACGGGCATTTGTTTGTTTTTTGTTTCGCTCGATTCGTGCGTTCATCTGTACACGTCCAATACTAGGAAAATCAAGTGCCATTCCTTTATTAAACCACGACAAGAAAACGAGCTTCAATGGTGAAACATCTCATTATTAAAAATGGTTTGATCTATTTGTTGCATAAACTGTGACATCTTTATGAACAAATTTTCGCAAAAAGTAAACATTCAGCATGACCAAAATGAGATTTCAATCCGAAAGTTTTTGCACAACCGCAGCCCCGAAATCTCATCCTTCAAAGGCACGTAATTGACAGCCAATTAACAAAAAAACGTACGTGCGTGGCTTTTTTCCCGATCTCGCGATGCAAGCAGCACCAGCAGAATGACACATGTACGGGACGCGCGTGCCGAATACCTGCACCGTTAATTTTACATACCCAAGAAACTCGAAAGTCTCGAGGAGGCGAGTCACGTATTTTTTTTCGAGAAAAAAAAAAGAAACAAGAACACACGGCAGCGGCGTTCTTTATTTACGCACCCCGCACTTTTACAATCCAACCGCGTATACACGCGAAAAGTCTGTTTTTAGCTTGCGTATATATAATATATACTGACACACCGCGGAATCCCTGATACTTTTTTGCCATTTATTTTCCATATAGTCTCCCGCAGTGGTAAAAAGACAGGCTACCCGTGCTAACTTGATAAGCCGGATGGAGCTGACCATCGAGTCACGAGGGGCAGAGGAGAAATTGAAATCAATTCACCGCGCGATAAGAGCCGATAAAGCGGCTCGTGTGTCACGAATACTTTAATCGTCGCCTCGAAAGAATAGGACGCGAGAAAATCGACTCCGCGCGCCCACGCCTTCGGTCGGATTATTGCCGCGCGTAGACGTCGGATGCATATGTATGTAATGCGCGCGAAGCACAATGCCATTTTCACCGCTGGCGAATGCCGTGCCGTGCTCTCGTACCACCGTCATCATCCATTTTTTACCAAACACACCTCGACCGGGGTTTATTTATAGCTCCGGCGTGATGGGGTGTCGCGTCGTTCTAATAAGCAGGATAGAGTCGCAAATATATATGCCTATGTGCATGTGTATACTCGTTCGAGCCTTTGCTCGGTTGTATGGTAACCCAAGGCGAATGGGCGTTTTTCCGTACAGGCGCCAAGACGAGCTTTTTAGATTGAATTCGCGATTTATCGCGTACGTGAAAAGGAAAGAAAATCAAATTGATTTTTTTTTACGTGGAAACGTAGTCAATTTCTGAGTATTTTCTTCGAGACGAGCGTTTAAAAAAACAATGGACCATCTGGAAATAAACGGCACTCAAATGATTTACGCTCGTGTGTCATAATCTAATCACAATATAATATCTTACACGAGATTAAAAGACGCTTGTGACGAGCACAAGAATTCCACGGGCATATCTCGAGAGATCGATGAAACTTGTACATTGCACACACACGCGACGTAAAAATACCGCGTCCGATGGATCAAAGGCACGCACGGCGCTCAATTATGAATTATAATTCCTCCGCACGATAGATTAACGGCTTGATCGATGATGTGGCGGAG